AAGTGGAAGAGAAGATTTCCGATTTTGATTTTGGGATTTGCACTTTGGTTGTGGAGGGGATCGTCTTTGATAAATTTGGCAAAACAATATGGGAATTTGGCTATTTGGACTAATTTACAAACATTATGGTGGGCATTTTGGGGTTGGTATGGGTTCTTAAGAGGAGCGTGATTATAGAACAATATGATTTGTACTTTTTTATAGTTATAAGATCATACATATTATATTAGGTCAATTATTATCTGTACTATTAAAGGCAACTAATCATTAGAAATTTAATAATTAATTTAATTAATTCATTTTTAGAATATTTGCATTTAACAATTTAGTTCAGTAATATAATAAATATGCTTTATTTTTAATGCTTTGCCTTGTAATTATCAATCCATTGTTCAATCCTTGACGCGTTACTTTCCATATCTTGTATTGTATTACTTTGTAATTCCACAACAATTTCATTAGAATATGATTCTCTTGCTTCTTCTAATATTACTTGAAAGATTTCACTTTCAATATTTTCCGTGATTTTTTTTTGAGAATATCCTCTATTAAATAAATTTTAAAAGAAAATTTTTTATCATTAAAATATAAATGAATTCTAATGATGATGATACATACCGTTTTTCCAAACGATTGTATAAGATAGTGTTGTCAGTTCTCAATACCAAAACCAAATCAAACCAACGTTCCGGAAATAGATCGCAAGAATGAAAATCGATTATATTACCACCCTTTGATACGACTTGTTCTAACTCATCAATGACCTTTTTAAAAAAAGAAATCATTAAAATTTATTTATTAAAGGAGGATAAGAATAAATTGATACTTGTGAACTCCCTTAAAATTACCTTGTCATCATCTAAAATGTAACTCTGAAACTCCTGGTCAAAGCCTTCATGTAACCCTTTCTCTTTTACCAACTCACCCACATTTATATAGTTTAGACCGGTTGCTTCCGAGACTAGCTCTGCTAAAGTTGATTTACCCGTTCCCGGGGTTCCTGTTATCAAAATATTCGCATTTGTGCTAAAAAAAGTGAAAAAATTTTATTTTTATTTTTAGTTGAATGGGTTGAGATAAAACAGAGTTTATAAAATTAATTTACCGTTCAAAAGACGCGTCTTGTTCATTATCAGACATTATTTAAAATGAAAAAAAAAAAAAAAAAAAAAAAAAAAAAAAAAGTATTGGTTATGATTGTGTGAATCTTTTGCATATAATACCAGCCAAAATTATCATAATACCGGAAAAAATCTATTTTACTTTTATATGCCAAATATGCCTTTTTAGACCAAAATATGTTCAGATTTAGCATTAACTCATTTTTTATTTTTTCCCATATGATGTAAAAGTTATATTTTTGTATTATGATATTTTATAGATTTTTTTGATTCTTTATGTATGTAAGGCAATGCAACATAAAAATGAATCGTGATGTGGGTAAATTGGGTGCATTTCAGGTAATGATATTTGAGCTTGAATATGCTTTTGTTTCCCGTGAATCCTGAACATGCCATAATTGTAGACTTTGTAAGAAGGGTTGATAAATAAAAAATCGAAAAAAAAAGACTAAAGGCTAAGAGATCATTGGATAAGTTAAAAGCAATTTATCTGTCCATAAAACCATTATTACTTCAAAATCAATGATTCAAACTTTATATACTACAAGTAAAGTACCAATTAGTGAGACGACGTATATGTGTGATATTCGAGTAGGATACCTATAAAATGTGAAGAGTTAATTACTTTGATAGTTAATATTACGAGCATGTGATTTTTTAACAGACTAACACAAGTTTTTCAGGTTACACATTAAGACTTCATGCCATCGGGTTATTCATTCATACATCATTATTGACATTAAGAGTATGTTGGTCTATTATCTGTAAAATTATCGTTACTAATGAAATTTTATTAAAAAAAAATTAAATAGATTAGAAATTTTCAGGAATAACTTGTTGCAAGAATTTAATAACATCTTCAGTTTCTTCCGGATATGATGAATGTTGAATATTATAAGTTTTGAATGTTATAGGATATCCTTTTGATTTAATTAGGTCATGTGACAACTTCCCAAGTCGAAAAGGCACAACCTTGAAAAATAAAGTTGAATCAGTTGAATCAGCAAAAAACCATCAACAAAAAAAAAAAAATCGAATTGAATCACAGATCAAAAATAAAATACCTGATCATAAATACCATGACCCATGAAAATGGGTGTATTCTTATTTGCATCCGTGGCCATCTGTATAAATAATAATTGATTATAAATTTAAGAATCAAATCTCATGATAAAAAAGGATAATGATCGTACCGTTAATGTTTTCTCTTTTAAAGGGAGATATCCACTTAAACTATTAATAATAAATAATTACGTTGGTAATTAAAATAAATTTATAAAGTGAAAATTCTTAAACATTACCCTATAATTCCACCCAATGGATATTCGGATGATATCCCAACAGTGATCCCAATCGCTGCTCCCTGTGAGAAACCTCCAACGACAATTCGATTTGAATGAATGCCAGCATCAATTTCATTACGTATAAGACGATTTACTATATTTAATTTTTAAAAAAATCAATGATCCTGTGATGTCATTTATGTAAATTGAATGCACATCACCTACCTGAGACGACTGACGATAATACTCCTTCCTCATCTACTCGATCCTTAAGGATATCTTCGGTATCCCCTAATGCATAAATATCATACCTTAAAGATAAACGCAAGATAAATAATTTATATACATAACAAATGTTAAATTCAATTCGAGTAAAAATTCAAATACCATGATGGCATTTCCATGCCAGAATTAATTGTTACTGGTTGTACGGGACTAAACAAAAAGAGAGAGTTTTAGAGGAAAAAGTGAGAATTTATAAAAGCGAATCATTTGATTTCTTACGCATTTGGAAGAATGAATTTGACGTGTTCCAATGCTTTCCCCATTTTTCCCGTCTCTGGAGCCCAGCCGTTTCCGTTATCACCCAAGCCCTGAGAATGAGTGACAGTAACATTGAGGTAAAAGAAAAAAGTTTTTTAAATAAAAACAATTTTGTTAATTTCCTACGTGTAGAAAAAATACGGTGGCTGTATGGAGTTTACGAGCATTTTGAACAACCGTGGTCAAACTTGAAGCCATGATAAATTTCTTAAAGGAAATGACTTTTTTATCAACGTTTACCATTTCAGGCAAATTAAATAAATTAGCACAGAATTCTTAGAAAGAAATGATCATCGAATTAAATGTTCGATAATAATTTGTAGTAAAGAACCTTACATCTTGCAATTGATGATATTGGTGCACCCGAAAGCGGATTAATGTTTTCTTAGATCGATTGCAAAGTCAATCAAAAATAAAATAAAAAATCCGTAATTCTAGAATTGTTTTTTTTTTTAACGAATTAATCGCTTGTATTAGTCAAATGTGTAATCTATATCATCTTTATGTAATATACTGTATATAGACCGAAAGTTCAATCATATGTTATTGTCATTCTAAGCCACCGAACGCGTGACATAATGCGTAATTGCAGTCCTTCTAGTAAATATTATAAATATCTGTTATATTTTAGTAAAAAAAAAGTGAATAATATTTTATTGCAACGATTGATCTCAACCAATTCATAATGACGATCAATTAGATTTAGCTTATCATTACCTTTGTCAAAAATGAGTTATTGCTAAATCTTAACATATTTTGACCTAAAAACCATATTTGGTATTTAAAAAGTAAAAATTGATTTTTTCCGGCAGTTTCTATTGCAAAGGTCTTATATATAGTTAAAAAATCTTTTAATAGATAAATATATAAGTTGTTATAAAAATTCTAATTAATATCTTTATTTTTAACATTTTTAATAATTTATTAAGAAATTTTATGATTTTTATTAATAGTAAAATGATTCAATTAATTCGTAAACATATAAATTTTAAGAAAATTTTTAAAAAATTATTATTTATAAATATTTTAAAACTTAATTTTAAAATTTAATTATTTAAAAAATCTTCTTAATAAACTTAATTTAAAAAAGTTGATAAAATATATATTAACTATATTTTTTATATAATAATTATTAATATTTTATATTTTATTAAAAAATTAATACTTTTTTTATATTCACAGTAAGGGATAATAAGGAATTTAAAAATAATACAACTTTTTATACTAAAATTTACTTTAAATAATATATTTTTTATTTTATATAATATATTATAAAATATAATTGATTATTATAAGGTTATTTTTATTTTAAATTATATTTTATAATGTTAATATTTAATCTAATAATTTGTTTATAATATTAATTTAATTTACTAGTAACTTACCATATTATAAATTAAAGTTTTATTAAATTTTATATATTATTATTCTTAATATAAATAATAATTTATTAATTTTATTAATATATTTAAGTTTTAAATTCTATATATTTTAAATTATCAAAATATTAATATATTTAATTAAAAATTATAAAAGTTTAATTATTAAATAAGGTTTTTAATAATTTGATATTTAATTTTATATTAAATTAAAAATTGATTTAATAATCTAAAAATTTGTAATTAATAATTTTATAATTTAATAATTTAATTAATTTATTAAATAATTATTATTAGATTTATCTTATTAAGAAAATTTAACAATATAATAAATTGTTATATAATCATTAAATATTAAAATACTATGACCAGGTGTTGATATTAATAATTATAGATCTGCAAATTTGTAACACAATATAAAATATCAAAAATATCAAACATATTAAACATATTTAGCATGTTTAATATAATTAATATAGTTAATATATTTGATATGTCAAAATATATAATAGAATAAATATAAATACAAGCTCTTAATAAGTTAGAAAAGACGAATTGATGGCTATATAGAAACCTCTCCTATAAAAGATAGCGTAATGCTACTCTTCTACTTTGTATATTCTTCTTGTCTATTTATTTTTCTTATTTATTATATCTTATCATCTTATTATTTTCTTTCTATTTAATAAAGTATTTCTTATTTTCTATTGTAAAACACTTCATGATTACTGTGAAATCTTAACCAATAACTGAAGTCATTTACGTTTAGTAAACTCAATCTAAATTAATAAAGCTAGTAGTAAAATAACTAAGTTTAACATAAAACTGATTAGAATTATACATAAACTATAAAAGAATCAATCCTTTGATACTATGTCTAACAGTAGCAATTTGAAAAGTTTGCATATTAATAATATTGTAACAGGACTATTGTAACGTAATTGATCTATATAATGCATTATAAATAGTTATGTAAGTGATGTAGTTAACAAAATCAACTTAATAGATGTATTTAATTTATATAATGTAAGAAAATGTAGATCTAAATGTCAAACATGTCAAACATATTTGATATATTTGACATATTTAATATAGTTAACATATCTGATATATTTAATATATCAGACATACCTAACATATATAATATATTAGATTTACATTAAAAAGTATATAAAGGAAAATAAATTCTTGACAAGAAAGTAACTATTAATTACTAGATACAATCTGATCAGTTTAGCAATAACTATGTATAACCTCTTTTGTAAAGTAGTGTAAGACTACTCTTTTCTATTTGTGATTAATTCTTCTTTTGTATTTCCTTAGTTTAGTATTCTTAACTTTTAGTTTATTTATTTACCAATAAATCTTTATTTAATTTACTTGAAATATTTGTGACACTTTGTATTTGTAATATAATTCATGTTTAATTTTAACTTAACATATAAAAATATACTCAATAGTGTATTGAATACATTTGGAAATATATAGTAAATGAATCATACATTCATTGTAGATTTAAATATATTTTTCAATATATAATAGAACTTAACTAACTGAGGTGTAAATATACTTTGCGGTATATAAAAGAACCATTAATTTACTGAGATAACTATTAGATTACTATGCAAACTTAAAAGAATTGTCATTCAAATACTTGTCTAACTATCGTAATTTGCAAAGATTGCACATTAACAATATTATTAATTTTTCAAATTATTTATATATAATTTAAAGTTTAATTAAAAAGATATGTTATATAATTCTTTAAATAAAATACTAGTTTAATAATTAAATACTATAGAGAAATATTCAATAAAATTACATTATAAATTAATAATTTTATTATATCTTATAATTAAATTTAATATTATTTTATTTATTATTAATTTTTTATAAAAATTAATTAAACATTTTCTAATATATATTTACTAATATAATTTATAAGTATTTATATTTAATATTATTTAATTAATAAAGAAAATTTCATAATATTAAATTATAAAATTTTATTTTTTATTTTAAAATCATAATTAAATATTAAATATATATATTTTAAACTAATCAATTTTTTAATTTAATAAAATTGTAATAACTATTAGTTTTGATTAATAGTAAGTACTAATCATAAATACTTAGTCAAAATTTTTGATTTTTTTTAGTTGATAATTCCAAATTTTATAAATATAAAAAAATTTATTTTATTATTTTGAATTATTATTATATAAATTTTATTAAAAAAATATTTAAAATTTATAAATTTGTTATATTAGTTTATTTTAAATTACTAATTAATAAAATTGATATATTTGAATTTATTAATTTAGTTAATTTTAATTTGATTATACTATTTAATTATAAAATAAAATATGCTAAAATTTATGTCTAATGTTTTTTGATTTTAATTATAATAAAATATACATTTATTTTAGAAATGATCTGCAAACTAACACGTTTAATAAATTTAGAAATTTGATTACTTTTTAGCACTTCCCTAACAACTGTGAAAGAATGTCGTCTACTACATATGGTGGAGGTTGGTGTTTATAAACAAAAAACAAAACACGAAAAATTACACGTAAAGTTTCTAATTATATGACACAATATTTTAGATGAAGTTTCGGCTATAGTTTTAGACGTTGGTTCGTGTTGGACTCGAGCAGGCTATGCCGGAGAAGATACTCCAAAAGCTGTTTTTCCGACTTCATATGGATACATCGAAGAGGAAATAATCTCTCCTGATCCCGATACTCAAATGGAGGACGCGGTTTCCGCGTCTGAAAGTACGCCCAAGAAAAAAAACGTCAAGAAAAAATACATAATAGGGGATGCGGATGTTGCAGCTTGGAGACCGAATATGGAAATCAAGAATCCTCTTGTTGATGGATTGAGTATGTTTGTTATTAATTATGTTTTGATATTAAAACTTTAGTTTCGATTTTTTTCTATTTTATTTTTACATTTTTTTTTTTATAGTTCAAGATTGGGACGCGTTAGAAAAGATTTGGGATTATGCAATGTATAATAGATTAAAAATTGATCCAAAGGAACATCCGATATTTGTAACTGAATGTGCTTGGAATACTAGAGATATTAGGGAAAAACTTACTGAGCTTGCATTCGAGAAATACAATTCTTTAGCGTTTTATGTCGCAAAGAACCCAGTACTTTCAGCGTATCTTTTTTTGTACATAGTTGCAAATCTTTCATGAATTACGTATATTATGTTTCCTTGACAGTATATTATATAGATTTGCAGCCGGTCGTCCAACTGCTGTTGTTATGGATTGTGGAGCAAGCAGTACAAGCTGTGTTCCAGTTGTTGATGGTTATGTTCTTAAAAAAGGTTTGCATATTTTACACATTACGTTAACTATTCTGAACGATTCTGAACGATGTTCACATAAATTTATAGGCATTTATAAACAGCCAATTGCTGGTGATTTTTTATCGGAACAACTTTTACAACAATTACAACAGAGATTTGATAATATAGTACCGCATTATATGATTGCAAAGAAAACTAGTGTGGATCCTGACCAACCCGCAAACTTCATACCTAAAGAACGACCAAATACAACAAAAAGCTATCACAAGTACATGCAAATGGTAAGAAAATTTCAGAGTGATTTAAAAATTTAAGCTTACGACTCAAAGTTGATATGAATTGATCGCCTGATTATCAGCGAACATATTGGTGTAGAGGGTTATGCAAGAATTTAAAGAATCTGTGTGTCAAGTATCTGAGGTGACTTATAACCATCAGTAAGTTGATTAATGGTTAGTTTTATCTTGATAACAAATATATATAGTGTTATTAATAAAATATATTTTTATTTTAGGTCAATCAGCACACGACCAATGAAATATTTTGAATTTCCTGACGGATTTAATACATCAATTGGTGCTCTACGATTTAGCATACCAGAGATCTTGTTCGATCCAAAATTTATACCACAGGTAAATAATATCTAAATCTTTACTAAACTGCCGAGAATACTCAATAAAATAAATTGTTCGTTTTAGCCTCAGGATGGAACTCATTTTGATACTACTGCGCTAATGGGTATACCCCAAATGATTTATCTCAGTATTAATAACTGTGACATTGATGTTCGACCAAACTTGTGGAATAACATTATCTTGACCGGGGCTACAACATTATTACCCGGTTTCGCGGATCGTGTAAATCAAGAATTATCCAGTATGGCTCCAGCGGTAAATATAGTAAAAATTTATAACTCAATAATCCTTTCATATTAGTGTGTTAACATTTTTAATTTTTTGAAATAGCCGAAAATCAAACTTCATGCGGCGGGTAACACCATTGAACGAAAATGTAGTAGTTGGTTAGGTGGATCTATCCTTTCATCGTTGGGAACGTTTCATCAATTGTGGATTTCGCGAAAAGAATATGAAGAAAATGGGAGAGGAATCGTAGAAAAAAAGTGTGAATGATACTAAATTTGTTCTTTTTCCTAAAACCTTTTTTTTTTTTTTTTTGAATATTGGTATAAATTTTTTCCTGTTTAATTGTAATCAAAAAAAAATGAGGCGTACATAGTCAGAAAATATGTTAATGAAATTTGTTGAAAAATTACAATTATACTACTAATATGGATACCATGGAATAAGTGCTCATGCCATAATTATATTACTAATAGTTTTTATAATGTGTTTTATAAGTTCCGGCACTAATTTTTCTTTTCGTGTCTAAGAAATATAAATAAAATTGATAATTCTCCAATAAAAACCATTTCAAGTTTCGCAATAGTAACAATCGATTGATCTGCTTAAATTAACCGCAGCATCAATCACGTGATTTAAATTGAATCATAATGAAATCATTCATTTGAATCTATTCCAAATTTAACAAATATAATTATTAGTTTTTTTGTGTTGAAGAAATCTATGCTAAATGAAGGATATTTTTCTCAAAAAGAAGACAAAGAAAAATATTAAATTATGAAATCATTTCGAATGCGCAATTGCTTTGGGAAAAAAGTTATATAAACACCGTTTCCAAGATGGTTAATTTAAATAAAAAATTCGATCAAAAAAAAAATGTCTTCAGATGAACATCAAGCGCATATTTCTACAAAAGGTTCTAGTGCACTTGCCGGTATAGGTACAAATCCTACGGGAGTTGAACCTGAACCTATTGCTCATGTTGATAAAGGAAGTTCTGCCCTTGAAGGTGTAGGTGCTATTCCTGTAGATAATAAGCAAAGTATGTGTATTCGTAATTTTTTTTCTTACTTCGATTCAATAAGACCTAATGCTTGAATTATTTATTTATTTAAATTTAGAGCAAGAAAATCTAACTCAACCACAACCTAAAAATGCTACTGAATATGTAACTGGTGCTCTTAGTAATGCATATACTACTGCTAAGGTATGATAATATACGTAAAGAATTCTAACTTTCGCAGCTCTTCATATTGTTGACTTTTTTTTATAAAAAAATATTAGGATACTCTTGGTAACATTATAGGAACTAATCAAACATCAACTACAACCGAAAAGGCTCATGCCCAAAAATCCGATAAATAGATCTATTCGTTTTGAGTAACCCACTTTTCTGGCTTTTCTCTTTGTAAAAAATTCCTAAAGGAGCAAATTTACCTTTTGCTTAGATCGTAGCCCTATATATAATGATTCCTTAAATGTAAATCAAAACTTCTCGATTGAAAAAAATTTTTTTTTAAAGCAAATATACATTCTTAGCACCTGAACTGCTTCAAATCATCTTTATTCTAAATAAAAATTTTTTAAAAAGCTGATTTCGTTTTTTATTGAATTTATTAACCAATATAATCTGAAATGCTAACACGATTTTTTATAAATCGGAAGAAGAATTCTTTTTTTAAAACAATATAAGAGAGTTTGTTAACGTTTTTTAACAAGAAAACTACACAAAAAAAATTCAATTCTTTTTAATAATAGAATGTCCGTACTTATTTAAAGATCACACGACTAATTATTTTATGCGTACTGATCTGATTCATAAATAAATTCTTTTCAAAAATATTTTCAAAACTAATAATGTCTTCATTTAATGTCTCAAAGCTCTATTCAAAAATATAATTGAACACACAGTTTATAATAACAAAATTTCAAGAATAAGTATCAAACTTGCAAAATCAAGTTCAAGAAAAAAAAAAAGAGTCTACTAGTTGCAGATCAAAATACTCGTGAATAAACAACTTCAGCAAAAAAATAAAACATTCTGAAAATTGAAAATTTAATACAAAGGGAAAATGTTATTAAGAGAATGGATTTTCTACAGGGATTTGAGTTTTGGCTTCAGTAGGTTGGGATTTGTCTTCTTAAATAGTAACAGTGACGAGAATTAATTTTTGTTGAAAAATCTTAAAGTTAACGCAATTATAAATTAACTATTCGACCAATAGATTATGAAATTAAACTTTGTTAATACATAAATTGCAAGTGTTCTTTCGTCATTATATAAATCCATTTTTAAACTTTTAAATTCATATAATACAATAAACAAATTTTCATTTCATAAATTTTTATTATTCAATATGAATCAATAGATATTTGTTTATTTTTCTACAAAGAGAGCAATTCTTACGATCCTGAAAATCTTTCACAGTCACTTTTTCAATTATAAATAGTTTATTCAAAATTTCTTATATTTTTACTTTCTTCTAAATTATTGAAGAATATTAAACTTTGCTTAGTATTAATATAGATTTTCTTAATAATCAAGCAGATCTTTGTTTATAATAAAGAAAATTCTTATTAACAATATATTGAGAACTTAGAAATTGAAAGCATTGATATATTTTTAACTTCAAATAATGATAATAACTAATTATTATTAGCAAATGTTTTATTAAAAATAAATAAACAGAAGTTTCTTTTAATTTTATATATTATAGAAATAGAATTACAACATAAATATTCTTAACTTAAGAATAGGTTAGATAAACTTTTATATATATATCAAGTTGCAATACTTTTAAGAAAATCAAATAATTTTATAATATTTTAAAATGATTATAATAATAAGTAAAAATTCTATATTTTGTTTTTGCTTTATAATTTTATTAATTTGTATAAAAAGAATATCATATGCTTTTTCTAAGTTGTCTTAAAATTTTGTTGATTATATACATTTTTATAATTTAATGATTACATTTCTTTCTCTTTTCTTTTTTCCTTAAAATAATTTAAAAAACAATATATCTGCTAAATAGTAAATTTATTCTTTAAACTTAATTGCTAAAAATATAAAATTAAATATTTTTTTATTTCATATTATTAGAAAATCAAGTAAAAATATGAGTTCATTTGTTCTATATCTAATTTATATTAAAGTACTTCTACTAATTTTAAATGGATAAATAATTTTTTTTCTTTTTCATTTATCTTTTATATATCTTAAATTATATATACAGTATATATATTTTAAATTATTTAATAAAATCTTATATAATTTTATATTTTTATTCTTTAATTTTTTGTAAGATTGCTAATTATATTATTAACATTTTTACTTTTAATCTTGATTTCTTTTTTTCAAATAAAAAATTTTTAATGTTTTTATTATATATTATCATTTTATATAATCAAAATAAAAATTTTATTTTACTTTTAAAATTATTTTAGCTTAAAGTATTTTATATTTTGTATTTTAAATAAAAAATTCAAATTTATTTATAATAAATTATTAAATATTAATATTATTAGTTTGAAATTAAAAAAAATTAAATATATGATAAATTAGTCTTAAATCAACCTAAAATTAAATTTAATATAACAATTAATATACATTAAAAATTAATTAAAATTTAACCTATCTATTTATAACTGATTAATAAATATACTTATAACTAATTATTATATATTAATAATTAGTTAAAATTTAACCTATTTTATTTATAGCTGATTAGCATATTTATAACTAATTTCATATATTAAAAATTGTCTAAAATACATTATAAATATTTTAGTATATAACTAATTTTTATATTTTAAATCATAAAACTTTTAATTAAAAATATTCAATTTATTTAATTATATTTACAAATACTTTTTTTTTAATTAGATTAATAATTAAACATTTCTTTGTATTTTATTAAGTTAAATTTAATATTAATAGTTTATCAATATAAATCAACTTAAATTATTATGAATTAATATTATATAATCATAATTTTCTGATTAAAAAATTAATATTTTATAATTTAACATTATATATTTCTATCATTACTAGAATAATATCAAATATTTAAGTAATATGATCATATAGAAAATAATATCATACTAGAAAATAGTTTTGAAAACTATTATTAAGTTTAAAGTATAAGTGTAACAAAAGGACTAATTACGTATTATCTAAGATTTAAGTGGGTAGATAGATAGACATTTTTTATTACTATTACTTATATATAGATAGTTCTTCACTTATATTTTAGACTAATAATAATTAATAATATCATTATTTATATATTATAAAGATAGAATTCCAAAAAATCTCTTATATAACTTAAATTTTTTTAATGATATGATACTATTATAAATTTATTAACATGTTACAAATAAAAAATATAAAAGTAAAAACAATAAAAATAAACTACAATTATCTTTTGTAACTATATTACAAATCTGTTTAAATTGACTGATTACCAGAATTTTCCTTAAGAAAAATTACTAAATTTATAAATAATGATTGAACTGTTACCAAGAAATTCAAATGATATATTAGTATCAAGTTAAAAATCAAACTAAGAAAAACTAAATTTGAGTGTTATATATAACTATAATTTTTAATTAAGAGAAGACTGAATCTCATTTGAAGTTCATTTTAATTTAACTTTCTCTTTCTTTAAACAAACTGAAATTTCTTTACTTTTTTCTAGTTCAACTATCTTTATATATTGAGAAATCTAAATTTTATTTCAAAACTCAAAAATAAGAAAATTAGATACTTTGATAAAAATATTTCTTGAATTAGATAGTGAAGAAAGTTTTCTTAAAAAATGAATGATAGAATTTCTTTAGACAAAAAGATACATAAATTAAGATTCACTAGGAATCTAAAAGATTTAACAATTATTTTTCAAAGGAACTGTATAAAGAGATATGATCTTTATTCTTCTTTAGTTTATCTGTAATAACATTGTCTAACATATTCTATACAGATTTGCAAATTAATGTGACAATAGCTACTGATGTTAAGCAGTTTCATAAATGTTAATGATCTTTTTTATTTATATTACATAACATATAGCTCTAATTTTTATAAATATCTAGATGTCTAACTTCTAGTTTGATTAAAGATAATACTATAACTAGTTGTAACCATGAGATATTTATTTATCATAAGGTTATAACTAGTTGCGATATTAATAAAATTAAGTTGCAACTAGTTGCAACCTTATGATAAATAAGCATCACATAGTTACAATTAGTTGCAGTACTATCTTTAA